CATTTATAATCAAATATCTTTTAGCAGCTTATGCTCCTTCCTCAGCCATTAAACCATTCAAAGACAATACAATAACACCCAGTATCCAGATTTTATGTATATTTTTCATCTTTATGTGGCTTTATTTTAAACTCTATCTTTTTCATTTTTATTTTTTATTTTTGCCTTTTTGAGACATGGTTTCTCTGTGTATCAGTCTGGGTGGGGGGGAAGCAGAACAAATGGAAATGTATGAAGATAGGTGTTGCATATCCATTTGTTCTGCTTTCCCTCTCTCAAATCCTGTTTCCCATAATGCCTATGTAACACTTGGTTGTCCTACCATCATGAATAATTTGTCCCCCCCCCCAGGCTGTATATACTGTCCAACAAACACCATAAAGTTTACTAACCTTGTAGGTTTCACCTTTGAAGCTTTTCAGACTTTACCTTCCAAACATTCCTGTTCATTTTTTATAGTCCTAATTTACAGTCCTTCTTCCTATCTTCTTCATTTCATCTTTTCTTAGTCTATATTTTGGGTTGTGAACTATGCATTAAATTCTATAATCTGCAGCAGTATTATGCCTATCTCATACTGGGTGCTACATAAGTGCCCAATGAATGGACATATCTATGATTTGCCATAGTGAATAGGCTAGATACCCAGAACAGCAACCTGTATCATATTGACATTTCCTGATTAAGCTTTAAAAATTGTCTGAAGGTCACTTGAAAGAATTGGCAGAAATCTGAAATGCATTTAATTTGCATATAACACATGGTTTTTATACAGCTATGACTAAATAACACCATGATAGTGAATCTTGATAATACGTGTTTGAGGTTTTAAGCATTAGCCTAGAACATTGGCATTGTGAACTGCTGCAGTATATTGCATGAAATCTGTGCTCTCCTTAGATATTGTGTGACTATTTGGGGGAGTTGATTAACCATAATTCAATTATCATCATCCATTTTGGTAAAAGGAGCTTCAAAATCTTTAATACTGGCTCCTAAGTAAAATATTCTTGAGAATCCCCACTTTACATTTTAAGCTTGTAGATGATCTTGGATCAGCCTGTGGGTTCCTTTTCCAATGCTGCCCTGTTTCGGGATTTGCTGCATTCAGGTTGGAGATAGCAATTTCTGTGTACCAGATCAACTCCCCTATGAACAAACTGGTGCAGTCTGTATGTTGGGAAAAGGGAGATCTTTAACACTCTCCTTTCCCCGCTTCTCTCCTTGCCCATCTTCTCCTTCCCTTTCTCTCTTTCTCCTCCTCCTTGTATCTGCCATTGATCTGGATTATGAAGAATGCTGTGGAAACTTCAAATATTCAAAGACCTTAACTAATGTTAAATTTATAGTTTAAGTAAAAGTAAATAGTATGATTCCCTTCACAGGATACTCTTAAGAAGGTAAGGCTACAGATGCAGTAAGTACAGCTAGGTTTCTAAAAACTTGAAAATAAAGAAAAAGTAAGACAAAAGAAAGTATTGACTCCTGTGTGTTTTCAATCCCTGCCCAGTGGTCCATGCCATAAAGAGTTCTTGAGGGACCCATTGGCCTTCCACTCAAGAACTCTCTGTTCCCAATGTTTGCCCCTTGCTGGTAGGATGTTTTAAAGGCATCAATCTGTGGGTATGTAGTGTATTACAATAGTTGCGGTTTCAGTGTTTTAAAAGAGGATAGACCCTTGTTTCTGATTTCCATGGCTTAGTAGAGTTCAATGTTTTCAGCATTTGAAATGGTTGAACTCTTATGGCACCCTAGAGTCGTTCTGGACCTTTCAGTTTGGAAGCGTAGCTTGTCGAAATGACCAAGCTATTAGGAAGGTCATGGTTTAGGCAGTTAGTGGCCACTTCAGAGTACTCAGGCATAGCAAGTCATGAACCCATCTGAAGAGACTTTGCAGTTTAGGATATAAAGCAAAAGCAGAAGCTGAAGTGTTGATGGTCCCTGCAAAGCTTCCTAAGAGTTTGCTTCTCCAAACAATGATCAGCTCCTAGGCACACATGGAAGAACTTCCCAACCTTCCAGGCATGCATAGCGATTTATTTATGTGAATAGCTTCCAGAGTTTTAAAGGTGGGAATGAACTACATGTATGATTCATTTAGATAAAATGAAGACCCAAATCTGCTGTTCTTTGGAGTTTAATACCATGCTCATTTCATCGTCATGACCTAAAGGAGTTAGTGGCGTAAGTGGAGATTTGTGATCTTGGGAATTCGTGGTCCAGTGTTTTTCTAGATTGTGTTTTCAGAATAAAATCAACAGACCATGTCAAGAGTCAAGAGAGGCCACAAAGATCACTTTGTTGCTTTAGTGCCCGTGTAAGCTTGGTTGCATTGGAGTTTCCAGCAGGGTCTTGTTTCTACTTTCCGAACTGACACAAGGCTTCTAAAACAAAGCATAGTAACAGAAGCCATAGCCTTCTCTTCCTGTGTTGGCAGTGGAATTGGCCTCATTTCTATTTTGATGCCTCTCACTCTTCTCTTATCAGATATTGAATGAAAGGTGGCTGTGAAGCCACAAGAACTCCAATATAACCCTTTCTGCTCTCACAGTCTATCAAAACTTCCAGAGTTGAAAAATATGATGCCATATCTGCATCTTCAAAACCAATAGCTTGTTTTCTGTGCAGAGCAGATAGCCCCATGACATCTTTCTGAATTACCCACCCTGCATGATTTACAGGTTTCCAAGCATTATCATGTATCATTTTATATGCACCTTGCCACAGCCTGGAAAGATGAACAGAGCACACCCATCATTCTGATAACTTACGGATGATGATGCAGTTCAGAGAACTGCAGTAGATTTTCTACAGCCACATATTTAGCAAGTGGGAGAAAAGAGGATCATAATGCTAATGTTCCAGCTTCTGCCCAGGAAACTCCACTTAATATGAGAGCATTATTGCTGGCAGCCAAATATGAATTGCGATGCTATCATAATATAGATGTCACGCATTTTGCAATTCATGTTCTGGTGGTAGTAGATAACACTTTGAACTTCTAAGTCTCACTGTTAACCTTTTGATTGCAGGAAATTTCTCTGCTATTTTTCTGTCTGTTTTTTTTTCTTAATTTCACTTTCTAACAGGAATTTTAAGACTTGACCTAGATACTATTATTAAACCATTACTTGTTTCTTTTTTCTGGAAGGGATACTCACAAATATAATCTAGTGTTACTTTTGAACTAATAAATGTTACTTTTTACTGATTCTATGACTGAGTTTAAATGGTCAAAGAACTTCTTAAAGCCCCCCTTGCTATTTTCTCTGTCAAAAGATACAATCCTAGAAATAGCAGGAGCATGTTTTTGCCTTATGAGCTCATTTTGAAATAGAAGATGATGCTGTGTTGTTTGAGGTTTCTGTCCTGCCGGGTTCCTGCAGTCTTTAAGTCCCAAAGAAATCACACAGAGATCGACATTAGTTATAAACCGATCTGCCTATTAGCTCAGGCTTCTTATTAACTCTTATAACTTATATTATTAGCACATTATTCTTGTCTGAATTAGCCATGTGTCTTTATATTTTGTTTTGGTGAGGTAGTCACATCTTGCTTGCTCTGTGTCAAGATCATGATTGCAGACTGCAGAATTTTCTTCCCAGAATTCTCCTGTTCTTATCTCCTTGCCCTGTCTCTACTTCCTGCCTGGTCACTCTGCCTTTACTTCTTGCCTGGCTACTGGCCAGTAAGCATTTTATTAAACAAATACAAGAAACAAATGTCTACAGGGTAAAACCATTGTCCCATAGCAATGCTGGAAGTCATAAAGAGGTATTTAAGGACACTGTTTTTATAGTGATTTCTATCAAATCCTGCTTCTTTACACACATCCCTATCTCCATCTGTTTTTTTCTCTCTCTCTCTTACCCATCTGTGGTGGTTTGAATGTAATTGCCCCCATGTGTTCACAGAAAGTGGCAGTATTAGGAGGTGTAGCATTGTTGGAGTAGGGATGGTGTTGTTAGAGAAAGTGTGTCACTGTGCGGGTGGGCTCTGAGGTCTCATATATGCGCAAGCCACGCTCAGTGTCTCAGACCACTTGCTGTTGCCTATTGATGAAGATCTAGGTCTCTCAGCTTCAGCACCATGTCTGTCTGCATGCCACCATGTCCTACCATGATGATAATTGACTAAACCTCTGGAACTGTAAGCAGCCCCCCTCCCAGCAAAATGTTTTCCTTTATAAGAGTTGCTGTGGTCGTGGTGTCTCCCCACAGCAATAGAGACCCTAACTAAGGCACTGTCTCTGTCTGTATTTCCATTGCTATTCCCATCTCTGTCTGTATTCCCTGCCTGTCTGTATTCACATCTATGTGTGTCGTCTGTCCCTATCTGTATTCCTACCTGCACACATGTCTGCTGTCTTCTGGGGAAGCATTAGCTTTTGGAGTGTATGCCCAGGATATCTTACCAGGCTTTTCAGAAGCTCTATCCTCAGTGCCTTTGAAGTTATACATTTATTGGGTACCAAGTAGTGAATCATGATTCTTTCTGATACTTTGAAAATTCTGTATGTTAATGCGAATATGATTTTTCTTCCACAGAGATCCATGTGTTGATTTTAGTATATCTTTCTCTTTGCCTTTAAAGAAAATCATTTCCTAATTTTGCAGCACAGTTAAACAACAGTTTGTTTTATTGCATTTTTTTTCAGTATTGTGAACTCCAGTAGAAATTAACACAGAAGCCTGGTCAAATCTGATGACTGGATTCCCAGCAGCACAATAAGGAAAAGGAAAAGAATGGTCAACATTCAGAGAGAATATCGTTGGGTTAATTTTGATGAAACCATGCATACTGTACTTAGTAAAATTTGGGACACTATTAAACCTTGTAATATTCTCAAAAACACACCAATACTAAATAGATCAACATAAAGAAACCCATTCCCCAATTCACTATGCATCTGCAAACAAAAATGTGTCTAGTATTTACCTCTGTAGGGACTTGGAGGATGTCACCTGAACGTGACGGCCAACTCTCCTCTGTCCTTTTAGATGGCTATGTTTGTGTTGCAGCTGGGCAGTGCCACATTCCTGGTTACAGAGCCTGTGATCAGCGCGATGACCACGGGGGCCGCCACCCATGTTGTCACTTCACAAGTCAAGTATCTCTTGGGAATAAAAATGCCATACATATCTGGACCACTGGGATTCTTTTATGTAAGTTTTCTAAGTGTCTCTGTTTGTGTGATTTGAGTGCATGGTTCACAAAATTGAATTTAGTCTATTTCAGTACTGAGTTTAAAAAAAAGGATGTTTTAAATATGATTGGTATATGAAACTAGTTTAATGAGTTATTAAATGTCAACGAGTAGTTACAATCTACTTATTTTGGTACCCATTTCTTATAGTGAATAACAGTATAAGTTGACTGGGGAGAAAAAGTGGTTGTGTATTTTTGTGAGTCAGATCTACTGCCAAGTTCTAATGAAATCCATCCACCTGGCTTTTGATTCGCTAACGACAGCACACTCTATCACATTCTTGCAGAATTGTGAACTCTGGTAGGGATCAAGACAGAGGTGTGGTTGGTATTGCTGACCGGAGCCCAGTAGCAGACAATCAGCTATTAACAGCCGATTGGACTTGAGAGAAGGATGACTGACCATAATCGCATTCCATTGCTCCTGCTTTCATTGGAGACTTAAAATTCATGAGAGCTTAGGACTTTGCACTCAGTTTGAATTTTATAACAACAACAACAACAACACATTCGAGTTGTTGAACTTCACAGCAAAGTTCACTTTACTTAATTTCATGCATTGTTGTATGCTCAGTAATATCAATGTGTCATAGCAGGAGTTGTGTTGACCTTAATCTTGACGCTAATTGTCCAAATAGCGACCAGATATATATAGCGCACATAACTTACTGGACTCACTTCTGTTGTGGAGTTTGTTGCTGGTGCATTTCATTTTTCCATTCTGTTGTAGGAATTCACTTCATTTGCTTATTGTTATCTGCATGACATTGTTGTCTGTTTCTTCCTTTTTCTCGTGTGTATGTGTGTTCTCATGTGTGTGGGCACATGTGTGGGGACATATATGTGGAGACTGAGGCTGGCTTCAGGAGTTTTCCCTTTTCTCTCTATTCATTTGGACAAGGTATCCCACTGAGCCCAGTGCTCACGACTATGGCTCATTTAGCTATTCAGTTTGCTCTGAGAATCCTTCTCTGTCTTCTAAGCATTGGAATGACAGGCGGGCCCCTTGCCTACCTGGCAGTTACACTGTTTGGGGATCTGAATGTCAGGCTTCATGCTTGTATGGAAAACACTTTAACTCCAGAACTATCTCCTAGGAATTTCAAGTTGTAGAATCACTCTATCAAGATGATTTAATATTTTTTACCAAATATTTATCTGGGAATTTCTACATATTGATATTTTACTTCAACTTTATCATTGCAAAATCTGGCTGTTGCTGTTGTTAAAAAGTACCAAATATCTGTGAAGCGGGCTGTCAAGTCCTTTGGGCAGATGTCAGGAAGTAGGATAGCTGGGCCAGAGGAAGACTGAAAAGGTAAAGATGCAGTAATTAAAGTATAATCTCAAAAATAAAAGGAAAAAGATTCTAAATACAATGCATGCATATATGGAATTCTCAGAGCTAATAACAGCACTATTCTGTAAGTGTGAGGATGAGAGATATGCGGAAATTCTCTGAAATGGCATTGTATACAGGTAGTGTCTGGGACATAGGCCCAGTACGAAAGAGAAGTGGGTCTGAATCCTCGCCCTCCTGAAACTCTACTTTTAATATGCCAAACAGAAATGACCAAACATGAGCCGGGCGGTGGTGGCGCACGCCTTTAATCCCAGCACTCGGGAGGCCGAGGCGGGCGGATCTTTGTGAGTTCGAGGCCAGCCTGGTCTACAAGAGCTAGTTCCAGGACAGGCACCAAAGCTACAGAGAAACCCTGTCTCGAAAAACCAAATGACAAAACACACACAAATAAACACAAATTGGAGTAAATGTTATGTAGTTTAAAAATTATCAACTTGGTATTTGAAAAAAAAATTCTCAGTTGTATTAATGTCCCTTTGTCTGCGTCAGAGGTAAAGCAGTAACAAAGCCGCAGTATTGGTGGTGTGGGGCTGTAAGTTGGTTCTGAAGTTTTGTTGCTTAGGTAATATCCGGGCTCAGTGATTCATTCATTGCAAGAGAGCTTAAAATCAAAACAAGAAAATTGGAACTGCTCCAGGAAGCAACATAATTCCATGCTCCCAACTCAAACCAAAACAGACCGAAGTAGCTGTAAGCCATCAGATGACTGGCTAAGAATTAAGACCTTTGGTGACGCCCAGTCTACAGGGCAGAACAAAACTGGAGGAGATTCTGCCGTGACCTGCCTGGGAATGGTGTGTTAATCTGTACATGGGCAGAGGAGGAAATATATGTGGGGTAGAACTCGGCCCTGTTTGGTCATATCAGTGCATGTTGATTATTCTCTTTGTTTTTGGGAGTGTGTTTAAAAAAAGTCACACTGACTTGGGACTAACGTTTCCTCCTCCCCCGTATGTTACTGTGTGAACATGCTCCCTGAAGTATTATGTATGTGATTGCCTTCTCCCGTATTTTGTTTTCTTGTGAGGTGAACTGCAGGTCACTTTTTCTTATCTAGATCAAACACCATGGGGCCTTTGGAGATCTTTTATAAGATCTCACACAGAAACTGCATCAGATTTAGGTGTGCGCTGAGATTGCACATTTTTGATTCACATTACTTAGCTTCTAGAAGATGCAATGCTTTGTTCTGATGGAAAATATTTAAAAATCTTACTTTTGCTAGCCTACATCAGAGGATTCTATGCTCCTTAGGTTTGTTGGAATTGATGGTTCATTGCTCTTGGTCAGTGTTCTAACAGTTCTGTATCAAAGATTGTCATGATTCCACACAGGAAAGACACGAACTAATAATCCCAGTACCTGAGAGCCTATGGAAGGAAAAACGCGAGTCTGGGGCCAGCCTGGAATGTATAGTGAGCCACTGGCTACCTTGAGCTACATAGTGAATTAACAGCCGACCTACAGTGCATTGTGCTACTCTGTCTAACGAAGAACATGGAGTAAGCTGAGTATAAGTTGAAAATTAAGCCATTCACAATGGATAATTTTACCGGGATAGTCGACAATGAGTTTTAGTATAGTTCAGTTGAGATAATCTGGTGATCAGAATGTGAATTTGAACTTGGTTCTAATTGTTTAAGGTGTACCTAAAATGGGAGGTCTGAACTCAGTGTTACAATACAGAGAAAATCAAATCATGCAAGGCTCTGGCCATCTGGTCGGAGCACTTGGAAGAAAATTCATGAATTAAGTTTGGGTTTTTTTTTTTTTTTTTTTGCTTTCTGACTGTTTCTTTCTGAGTTTTAAACACTCTTATATCCTGTTTGAAAGCTACTCAGGCTGTGAAGGGAAAAAGAACACACCACTGATATATATTGTCACATAACTTAAGGTATAGAATATTTTATAAGCTTGCATAATGAGCCTGTCACAAATATTAATAGTCTTGGACACTGGTTTTTATTTTTAAAAATCAAGTTTAGCTTACATGCCCTCTAATAATTCCAGTAGCATTGACCTTTTCTGTCAATTTTGAGAGAAAACAGTCTCCTTTTGTTCTGTTCCTTTGGTTTGTAGTAGGTATTTCCTGAGACTCACACCAGTGGTTTTCCTTCCTTCCATAGGGCTGCTGATCTGTACAATAAAGAAAGCCTGTTATCTAAGTTAAGTTTGTAACATCTCTGTCTATTGGCATCTCTGAGCTTGAAAGTGTGCTCCCCTCAGTGGAACACTTTTAGCAGATGGTTTCACTCAGATCCGTGAAGTGGTATAGTGTTTATTCTGCTCTCTTAGATTATAGGAAGGACTTTCAATTGTTTTGAGTAATAGGTATTGCTGCAGTTTGAATGCGAATGTGTCTGAAAGCGCTAGATTTAACATAAAGGCTTGTTCCACAAAAATAGTAGCATCTTTAAGAAGCAGGGCCTTGTGAGAGGGGGCCAGTTTCTCTTTTTCTTCCAGACCATAAAGCAAGCAGCCATAAGTTGTTGCCTTTGCTACAGACTAGTAAGCAAGGGGCAAATGAACATGGACTGAAACCTCTGAAACTATTAGCTGAGAGAATCCTTTTCTCTATCCATGAGTCTCACATGTTTGTTGCAGTAATGGAAAGCTGGCACAACTGTGGTCCGGATTTCTGTCCTACCCGGTCCTATAGCCATTCAACCCTAAAGAAATGTGCAGAGGTCTACATTAGTCAAAAACTAATTGGCCCATTAGCTCAGACTTCTTATTAACTCTTATAACCTATATTAGCCCATTATTGTTGTCCATGTTAGCCACGTGGCTTGGTACTTTTTTTGAAGAGGCAGTCACATCTTGCTTACTCTCTGTCTGGATCATGACTGCAGCCTGCAGAATTCTCTTCCCAGAATTCTCCTGTTCTCATTGCCCTGCCTCTACTTCCTGCCTGGCTACTGGTCAATCAGCATTTTATTAAACAAGTACAAGAAACAAATGCTTACAAGCTAAAACCATTGTTCCATAGCACAGAATACAAATTGCAGCTAAGTACCCCTGGCCACTCTTTGATTTGTAGGTGAAAGTTGCTAACAAGTCTGCTCATGGGAGCAAGGCTTCATAAATCTTACTTGATACTCTGAGTGACCACCCAGAATTTAAAGTGTCCTTATATTTATAAGAAACTTTTAGAATAACTCTCAAATCCTCGGTGTTTGTCAGGATTCTCCAGAGGAACAGCATTGAAAGAATGAAAAAAAATGAATCCATTTATATATATTTATATGTACATGTCTTAGGGTTTCTGTTGCTGTGAAGAGACACCACGATCACAGCAACTCTTGTCGAGGAAACATTTCATTGAGGTGGTTTACCATTTTGGAGATTTAGTCCATCATTATCATGGCAGGACATGGTGGCATGCAGGCAAATGTGGTGCTGGAGTAGGAGGAGCTGAGATTCTTACATCTTTCTCTTTAAACAACAGGAAGTAAACAGCATCACTCTGAGCACAGCTTGAGCATAGGAGACCTGAAAGCCCACCCCCATAGTAGCACAGTTCTTCCAACAAGGTCACACCTACTCCAACAAATCTATAACTCCTAATAGTGACCATAATACACAAACATACAC